AGCTCCCCGTGCACTTTGCCCCCTGCCCTTGGCCTTGCCACCATCTCACATGACCGTGGCAGAAGCACCAAGCCAAGACATTAACATGGTACAATGCTGTTGACCAAACTGCAGATTCAATCACCTTTTCCTCCAATGTCCTCTTTCTGTCCCGGGAGCCAGTCCAGGATACCACGTTGCACTTAGGTCTTAATTCTTTTTAATGTTTTCCTTAAAGCTGTAGGACCATAAACCTAGCTCTAAGTTTACTATGCATTTAGCTCTTCTACACCAAAATAAACATATACATTAATTTCAAGCAAAACCTTAAAACTTCAAACCGATATAGTTCCAATTAATTTGATGCCTGGCGTGGTTTTGATGAAAACCAGTTGCTGCTTTGCTAAATGAGTCTGTGGCTGTGCCATGCCCTGAGTCCCGTTGCATTCTCCATCGACACTTGATTTGGTTGATTTAATTCTTCCCATCATCGTCCTCTGCTCGATCAATTGCCAAACCTTCATTCGCACAGCAGGCGTGACATCGAGGGACTGCGACTTGGCTCTCTCTCATTCCTCTCATGATTCCTCACCCCACCCCCCTCTCCTTCTCACAGCCGACCTGGGACACTAGAATTAGGGGCACGTGCAACCGGTGAGCTGCGAACTTAAATGTCAACTCGCGGCTGACTCCGAGCTGTAGTACTTCTCCAAAGATGGCCGCCCAGATAATTGGAGGTGCTTATACCCATTGTGAAAAAGGTTATCATTGACAGAGAAAACAAGCCTAAAGGTTATTTTGAGGATACAACCGTAAGCCTCAGTTTAGGAAAGACTGCAGGGAGATTCTGCACAGAGTACGATGTGAACTGAGATAGTTAAGGCCTCCCGGACTGGAAGGGTGAGCAGGACTTACCAAGGTACATGCAGGGAGGGGGGAAAAGTGCTCAGAGGAGCAGGTGCAAAGGCATGAACGAGGTGAGTGAGCTGCTGGTATTTTTTGAGCTCTAAGTAATTCATCTTGGAGAGTCTCGGGCGTGAGGGACCAGGGTGGGAGAGTGGGCAGGGAAGGAGCAGCTTGGAGTCTGTGACCGGGGAAGTCCCAAGTGGCCAGCTAAGGTGTTCGGATGTGTTCTCTTGGGCTTTGGGAGAACGACACAAGTTTTTTTGAGTGTGACATGATCAGGTTTGCCTATTAGAGAGATGACTCTGTCTCCTCTGGGAGACAGATGTGAGGCAGGCAAACCAGAATAAAAGGGTTGCAGTGGGCCAGGTGGGCGGGGGTGAGGGTGTGGGCCCCTGTGGCTGTGGGAACAGAGAGAATGAATCTGACATCCAACAGGTGGAACCGAGAGGATTTCAGATGGATTGGCCGTGGAGATAAAGAATTGGGAGAGGAATTTTGAAGATCCCTTGTAGGTTTCCGGAATGGCAATCAACAATGGAACATTTAAGGTTAAATGGAGTCTGCCACTTAACTGTTTTTTTTCCGGAATGATTTTCAGTGTTTTGGTTCCCAGGAGCAAATGGTGATAACTAATGCTTACCTAGTGCTTCCTGTGTCAGGCACGGTTCTAAGTGCTTCCCATGTGCTGTGCGATCCTGAGTCTAAAGGCCCATTAACTCCACATTGCACTGACCCCTCCTGTGCCACCAGAGGAAAAAACACTGTCCATTAAACACGCCCAACACGCAAACCTCATCCTTATTTCGGGGATCTTAAAAATAGACGTCTTGGACTCAGTGATCCGTGGCATACATTCCTTTATCTTTACAACAGCCCAGTATGGGTATGAGTGAGGAGACAGAGGCAGGCAGAGATGAGATTAACTTGCTGTATCTGGGTGCTGCCAGGTAGCCAGGACCTGCACCAGGCAGTGTGGCTCTGGAGCCTATGCCGTTAGCTCCAAGCATAGGAATCAAATAAAACATTATATTCGAGTTCATGGCAGCCTATGGCCCGAGTGCCAGTGTTAGAGGTGATACGAGAAACAGCAGGGGATCTCTGTCCTCGGGGGGAACGCAATCCGAGAATGCTCAAGCCCTCAGGCCAGTGACTGTGGGGATGGCTGTCCTGGCGCCAAAGACCAAGAACACCCCGTTTATCTTACAGAAATTACTGCGGCCCCTCGAGTGTGGCCCTGACTCTAAGCGCTGACATTTTCTGTGGGAGAGACTGGCTGTGCAAGCGGACATGTTTGAAATGACACTCGCCTGGCACAGAGCTACGTGGTTTTCATCACCCAGGGCCAACATGTGTGGAACACAGAGTTAGGACTTTGGGTCAGGATAAAGAGTGATCAAGTCATTGATTCATTTTTACCAAGACGTGTTTACTGGCAGTGTGCTATATCCCAGGCACTGGGCTGGTGTCAGGCAACCCACAGATGAATTAACACGCCTGGTCCTCAAGTCAAGGTGGAGGGCGTGGTCAGAAAAGTACACCACAATCCAATCACAAAGATAATTGCCATCGGTTTCTTTAAAAAAACATTCAAAATAACCCAAGGATGAAGAAGTGGTGAGGGTACAACTGAAACATGATGGAAAGGTCGTGTGTGAATTGTTGAAGCTAGGTGAAACATACATGAGTTGACTGTGCTATTAAATTTTTAAACATGTTACAAAATTTTTCTATAGTAATAAAAATGAGGGAGAAAGAAAAGAACACAGTGAAGAATGTGTTCAAAAGGAGCCTGTCCCAAGTTTAATTTAAAAAATAACAAAGGTTTATGGGCTCTTTAAAAATGACATTTTAATTAGCCTTGAGAGGCGGTGGTGACTTTAGGAAGCCAGAGGGGCCTGAAGAACTGCCCGAAGCATAGATATTTGGTAGAGCATTACGGCCAAGTTCATTACCATTGTGCTTGTAGGATGTGTTCCTTGCATTTCAGTAATAAAAATCTACCAAAAAAAGACATAAAGGCCATAAAGGTATTTATACAGTTCAATGAAAGTACAGGAGAATGAGCAAAATACTCAAAAGGTGTGTTTTGAGAAGCTGGTGGGTTGTGGGTATAAGGAGAAGCGCAAGGCATTCCAGAGTCCGGATTAGCATACGCAAAGATTCAAAATCCGAATAATGAAATTGATGCTAATGAAACAGAAGGTAGCTCTAGGGATCAGTGGGACACAGGGTTGAATAAAGTCAAGTGAAATGGTCTAAGGCCCTTAATTATTAAAGTTAGGAGTAGGACATATCTCTATATATCTCATACAGAGCACTGAAAAAGTGAGATACTATGGTTTTACGGCCAATGAGCTTTTATAACACACTCTTGAAAATAATAAAAGGAATATTTTTGTGCATACAATCACTCAAAATTTCTTGGAAGTCATCCTGCATATTTTGGCAGTTTCTATTTTTATGACTTGCGGAAAGAACTACCTGGTTACCACTCTGAAGCCCGGGTTCTTTCTGCCCTGCCATGCTGCCTCCCAGAGGAGGACCGCGGTCCTGCATCTTTCCTCAAAGAGAGTCTCCAACAGAAGGCAGGATCTGGGCTGAGACTTTGACAGTTACAATAAAGACAGAATTGCTAAACCCAGAAACCCCTACCCTGCCATGACCTGGTATGGGCTGTGCTCAGAATGACCCCCTTGGTTACACATTAACCCAGTTAACCCACACTTTTCCCTCAAGTTTTCATCTAAGCCAAGAATTCTCAAGTCCTAGGCAAAAATAAAAGAGGTTCTCTACAAAACTGGTAGATCGACAGTTTGTGAACTTTGGAAACAGTGGGTATATAAGGGGCTGTCTATCATTACTGCTGCACACACGTCCCAAAGGACATTAGGTATAAATTCACTCTTCCCTGGTCTCCACCCCTTCTCTCACTGTTTTTTAAAAGTATGCTTTTCTTTTATTTCCTTCCATAGTGGATGAATGTCTAATGAACCCAGACCAAAATATCATTTTAACACATCAATTTTAAAGAGCATTTATTTGTAATATAAGGTTGCAGAAACACTGGAGAGAAATATACACTTCCCATTAGGAGATAAGTGGATAAAAAAGCTGTGGACTGGCATAACTCAGTGGGTTGAACATCATCTGGAAAAGAGAAAGGTGGCCGGTTCAATTCCCGGTCAGGGACAGGCCTGGGTTGTGGGCCGGGTCCCTGGCTGGGGTGGGGGTGGGGGGGAGAGGCAAACCGATTGATGGTTCTTTGACATGTCAATGTTTCTCTTTCTCCTTCTCTTCCCCTCTCTCTAAATATAAATATAAATATAAATATGGGAAAAAGTTGTGGTACATACACACAATGCAATCACCAAAAAGAAGGAAATCTTACCATCTTCCACAGTATGAATGGATCTCAAGAGTGTTGTGCCAAGGAAATAAACCAGTCAGAGGAAGACAAGTACCCTATGGTTTCACTCATATGTGGAATCTAATGAAAGCAATAAACTAACAAACAAAACAGGAAGATTCAAGAGATTCAGAAAAAAACCCAGACTGACAGCTCTCAGAGGGGAGGGGAGTTGGGGGGCTGAGTGAAAATGGGACTAAGTAAACAAACGAACAACAAACCCTCATAGACAGACAACAGTGTGATTACCAGAAAGCAGGTGGGGGAGGCAGGAGGGTATAGGGGCAATAAATGGTGAAGGAAGGAGACTTGATTTGGAGTGGTGAACACAATGCAATATACAAAATACACAAATGATACAGAAGTATACACATGAAACCCATATAATTTTATTAACACACACTACCCTACACTACCACTCTGAATCCCCTCCACGAGTCTCGCAAGGCCCAGGTCAACCCCAACACAGTCCCGCCCGGGACTGCGACATTTGGGTTTGGGCAGTGACTTTAACGGCTTCCTGCCGCTCAAGACGTGGAAGGGAGAAGAGCGGCTTCAGACCCTAGCCGGCGGGGTTGCGGGCCACCCCGTCGTGCCCTGGATCCTCGCCCGCTCGGTTCTGCGACTTCCCTCCCCTAATTCCGCCACTCTCCCTCTTCCGGAAACCGGAGCGTTTCCGGCGCCGGAAGTTCGTCATCAGCCGGTGCCGGAGGTGCACGCCACTTAGCACACGCTGCGGAGTCTCTGAGCTGATGCTCGTGGAAGCGACCTGTTCTGGAGTGTGGGTCGTCGCTCTCCCGCGACACCATGCAGGTCTCCAGCCTCAACGAGGTGAAGGTTTACAGTCTCAGCTGCGGCAAGTCCCTGCCTGAGGTGAGTCACCTGGGGCCCGCTCGGGGAGCTGTCCGTGCGGGTAGCCGAGGACGCTGCAGTCGCTGCGCCAGCGGGTGGGCTGAGGAGTGAGCAGGGTCCGTGAGCTTTGAGCGAACCTTTGTAGGGTTCTGCAGAGCGGAGGACGCTTCCCTTTGGGCTCCTGTGGACTTTCGCAGCCGCTGTCCCGCCTAGGAGGAAACCGAGGCAGGTTGATTGAACATTTCTCCCTCGTTTCACTGCCCGTTCACCGGATGTTTGTTGAGTACCAGTTAAGTGCCAAGTTCTAGAAATAACAGGCGTGAGCGAGGAGACAGCGGGCTTGGGTTCTGCAGAACTGATGCTGTAGGGGGCAGCAGTTTCAAACTTGCTGCACATCCCTGGATGTCGTTGGGTCCCAGGCATCAGGGTTGGAAGGGGCAGGGAAGATTGGTGAATCTCCCCGTGTTCTCATGCATACAACATGCAGCGGCCCCAGTGAGGTGACTCATGCAGGGCCACACACCGAGGTTCTGCAGTTTGTTTTTTCTTCTTTGTAAATGATGGTCAGGTTTCTATACAAGAGGACACTTTTTGCAGAAGTTCCTTTTACGTTCTCAGATTCCTTGTTAGATTGTGGCCCTAAAACATGCTTCTTTATTGCTAGCATGCTGCTGTTGGTTCCAGTCCTGCCCATGGCCGTCAGACACCACCTAGCTCTTCTTCCACGTGGCCACCCCTGAAAGACTGGGAACCAGTGATTAGATAGTTCCTTTCTTCTAGGAATTCAGGTTAAATAATTCCCTGCCTTCCAGCTGTTTTTTGAGCACCAGGACCTTCTTGTTTTGTTCATTCTATGCAGTTGTCGAGAAGTGACTTTGTACAGGCAGCCCTGCCCTGAGTGCTGGGTATCTGGGACCATGTTGGGGAAAGAGCTGATAGGGGAGCAAACAGGAGCACTTCTGATATGATAAGTGCTGTGAGTGATGCATGACTTACACAGGGCTGTTCTGGGTGAAGTGGTTTGGAGAAAGCCTTCAGGAAGGGCCTCTTTACAAGAGGTGACAGCTGCGTGGAAACTTGGACTGTAAAAAGGAGCCAGTCGCGTGAAGGTACGGGGAAGTTTTGGGGGCCAAGAGAATGGAAAGCCTAAATGCTCCGCAATGGGCACACACTTGGCATGTGGGAAACACCGAGAGGCACAGGCGTGACCATGATGGGTGGAATGAGGGGAGGGAATGGGGGCAGATGAGGCTGGAGAGTCAGCCTTGCCGTCCAGGGTGAGAAGTTGGGTTTTCCTGGTGCTGCTGGAAGTCACCGTTGGGTTTTAGATGGGGCTGCTTTGTGGCAGGTGACCACAGCGGGGGAGGGACGAGTGGGGACCAGTCAGGTGGTCAGGCTGAGAGATCTGGTGGCTCGGGCTGGAGTGGTAGCAAAGAAGATGCTAAGATGCGTGGGATTCGGGAGGTAGGCCAATGGGACTTGCTGATGGATCGGATGGTGGCGAGAAGTCGAGATGAAAGGAAGGAATTGAGAGAGCTCTTAGGGTTGGGATCTCAACACCTGGGTACGTGGTAGGCAAAAAAAATCAAAAGTTGTATTTTTGGCACTTAAGGTTCGACATTCTAGTAAACATCAAGTGGAAATGTTGAGTAAACTGCTGTGTATACTAGTTTGGTGGGTTCTCTGAGTCTGCTTTTAAAGTAATTTTAACTTAACAAATGGCTTGTGTTTCTTTTCTCACTTCCGATGTCAGGTCCAGTGGGATCCTTTTTTTTCTTTTTAACAGTGAGGTGTCTGTTTAGTGTGAGAATCAGCTCATCAGCGTTTCTGGAGCTCTTTCCCTAGGTTTCTGATTCAATTACAGGACAGTGGTAGAGGGCCATTCTCTATTAGCTAGGACTTTATAGAATCTAGAGACAATGGCTGAAACCAGTGACAGCTTTCAGTTCTTTGGTGAACTTCGTTTTTAACTTTCGACTTACTTATTCATGTGTCCCTATCCCACGTGGATATTAGTCTGTGTGCCCTGCGGTAGAGCTGTCTGTTTGCACAGAAACGCCCAAAGGAGCTTTCCTTCCTTCCCACCATCACGTGTCAGAGATTTCTAGCCCTTCAGGGTCCCAGGCTCTAATGTAGAAAGAGGTCCCGTCTCCTCTCCTTTACCCCAAGCTTGTTCGCTCAGACTGTATGAGACCACTGCTGTGTCAGCCGCCCCATGTGGGGCATACCTTCCCGAGAAGAGGAAATTAATCCCCTATCAGAGGGGCAGCCATGGTAATACACCTTTGTCCTGCTTGCATTAGGTCGGTGTGAAAGAATATATCGACTGCTCATCACTTTTACATCACTGTTAATTGAAATATTACTGCCTAAAATAAAATCAAAGGCTAACATAAACCTATAAATCTGTTCCATACATTAGATATAATGTTTGAGGTCTACTGTTTTCTCTTAGATTTATGAGATGAATTATTTTTGTCTTACATAAAACATGGTAGTTGCAAAACTTTATCGTCTATTATATGCAAATGTGTACAAGGAAAAAATCTAGAAAATCTAGATGTGTTAACAGTTGGGTTAGGATTACAGAATATTTTTACTTTCTATGTTACATATTTATATAAGGTTTTAAACTTCTTAAACATGAGCATGTGTTAATTTTGCCAGCAGAAAAACAATTCAAGTAAGCATGTTCTAAAATGAAGCCTCTCCGTTTTCTTTAGTGGCTTTCCGACAGGAAGAAGCGGGCCCTGCAGAAGAAAGATGTTGGTGAGTAGCCCTTCCCCACTCCGGCAACGCTCAACACCCAGGTCACAGCCCCGCCACTCTTTATTGTTCCCATCCTTAAGTGAGGTTGACACACGTGCAGCAGGAAACAAGTTTTTGCCCTTTTCCATCTTAAGAAATCTCCTGTTGTGGCCAGTATGTTCCTGGTGAGTGTGGGATTGATTTTACTGCTTACAAGCTAATAAGCCAGCCTTTTGCCGTCTTCGTGGGCAACAGCAGATGCGCTACTCCTGAGTCAGAGACGAGGACTCCATCTCCCACGTGATGCGGCACACACTGTGAGTGTCAGCTGATCTGTCACTGCTCCTTGCCCGAAGCCCCCCAGGGCACTCAGCATGACCCAGACGGGTATCTGCATGCAGAGGCCCGAGTTGCAGCCGAGGAGGGCTGAGTTCAGGAAGCACATTGGTTAGATGGCAGGCAGTGAGAGGGCCTGCTCCTGGTCCAGCAGAGCTGCGTTGCTGCCCCGTCCGAGTTCCCAGCTGTGTACGTACTCCTGAGGAAGACTCGGGTAAAGGAGTGGCCAGGGCCTGGCCGTCCTGCCACTCTTGGCAAGATGTGTGGGATGTCAGCGGCCCACGGGGGACTGTCTCCTACCGGTCCCACCGCTGCTTTGTTCTCCGGTGTATCAGAGTCTTCCTTTGTCAAGTCCATTTGCAGTTTTTGTGATACGGAGACAATGACCATTTTCATTCTGAACAAAGTAATTTATATACAGGACGTACAAATGTGAACAATAAAAGATCATCGTGAAAGATTTTGAGTCTTTAAGTTGCAACAGCAGGGAAGATGGGCATGTGAGACCGGGTCTTAAATTACTTTGGACAAATTTCCATTATATCTTCTCCATTACAGTTTTTTTATATATGAAGGATGACTTACCTTCTCATGTATTTTATTTGTTATTCCCTAAAAATCAAAAGACGTAAGGCATTACAGGATTTTCTCGAGAGATGAATCCCCGAGGCAAGCATTTTGTAAGAGTGGGCTTTGTGCAGTGCAGTGCTGGACACTGGAAACTGTCCGTCGGGGGGAGCAGAGGCTGCTGCTCTGGTAGCGCTGGCTGGCCCTGGTTCCTTCGCACTCAGTCCCTGCTGCCGTCGGGCGCGCTGGTGGGCGACTCTGAGTGTTTGGGGGGCCACGCCTCACTGACGGGGTCTGTCAGCCCCTCCCAGAGCTGTGGCGTGTCTTCCAGACTCAGCCGCTCCTGCTCCATCGGTCTGAGTCTTACAATTATACTCAGTGGACGAGGCAGTAATGGGCCATAGTCCTTTGTAAAAAAACATTTTTTATTTATTGATTTGAGAGAGAGAGGAAGGAGGGTGGAGAGAGAAATCTGTTTGTCGTCTCCGCGCCCATTGGCTGCCTCCTACACGTGCCCTGACGGGAACTGAACTCACAACACAGGCGCATCTGGACGATGCTCCAGCCAACGGAGCTGCCTGGCCAGAGTTAAACAGCCCGTGTAATGGGCACATTGTTATGATAGTGGCCAGCAAGAATCTACACTTAAAAAATATATTATTTATTTATTTATTTTTTAATTTTTAGAGGAAGGGGAAGGGAGGGAGAAAGAGAGGGAGAGAAACATCACTGTGTGGTTGCCTCTCATGCGCCCCCTACTGGGAACTTGGCCTGCAACCCAGGCATGTGCCCTGACTGGGAATCGAACCGGAGACCCTTTGCTTCACAGGCCCTTGATGACCTTCACTAGTGACCCTTGATCCGCAGGCCAGCACTCAGCCCACTGAGCCACAGCAGCCAGAGCAAAGCCCACAGGTTCTTGTAGGAGAGAACAAGTTTCCAGGAGAGCCAGCGTAGGGCTTCGGTTCAGAGAGACGTCCAAGTCCTCCTCCGTCTGAACCCTCTTGGCTGTGGGTCGCTGGAGCCAACAGGGGCACGGAGGTAGCCATGTCTGATGTAACGTAAGATTTTGAAGGTTTAAACTTACTGTTCAGAAAAAGCGTGGTAAGATTTTTGTCTTAGCCATGATTGAATAATGGTAGTGGTTTAATGTTTATTCCCTCATTAGCCAGGTCTTAAAACTTGATGTTTTCCAATTAATGATGTTTTTTCCTTTTTGAACAGTTAACATAAGATACTTAGTATAGAAAAACAACGTGTGAGCTAAGAAGAAGCTGTGCCGTGTAGTAGGTGGGGCCGTGTTGGTGGGTTCTCCCGAGGCTCGGAAGCTGGGGGCCTTGCAGATCGGTTTGCCTGCCTGTGATGTGATCGCGTGATCACTAGGCCCACTGTTTATTTCCTCTCTTTGCAGATGTCCGTAGAAGAATTGAACTTATTCAGGATTTTGAAATGCCTACTGTTTGCACCACTATTAAGGTTTCAAAAGATGGACAATATATTTTGGCAACTGGTAAGCATCTTTTTGGTTATAATTTATGTCCATTTCATATCAGGAAATATTATGGTGGGATAGGTCACTTTTTAAACTACCCTAACACTTTATTATAAAGAATTTGAAACATAGAAATATTTTAAAAAATTATATAGTGAACATCTATTTATTTACCTACCACTTAGATTCGCCAGTGGTTTGCTGCGTTTGGTTTACCACGTGTCTATCTGTCCGTCCTCACATTGCAGATGCCAGTGCTCTCTCCCTCTAAAGAACTCACGTGTACACCGTTCACTCCAGTTCAGTGTTTATTTGTGGCTTTTTGACGTAAACTTACATGCAGTGAACTGCATGGGTCCTTACCATTTGATGAGTTTTGACAAATGTGATGCCCTCAGACCCTGAACCCCAGGTTGGCGCGCTCCTTGTGCCTGAAGCCGCCTCCACGCCCCTCAAGGTCGACCCTGCTCCCACAGAGCACGGGCAGCCGCGGCTCTGATCTTGGTTGTTGTTGCTTGTTGTTGTTTGTACCGCAGACGAGTTTAGCCTGTTTCAGAACTTTATGTAAATGCACGTGTCCACTGTGTATTGTTTGTGTGACACTTAATTCACATGGGACTGCGTGTTTGAGCTCCACATGTTGTCACGCGTGTCTGTAGTTCGTCCTTTTTTAACAGAATTATTATTACCAAATAGTACTTTCTTACAGGAATGAGCCGCATTTTGTTTATTCTTCCCGTGCTGCACCCCTGGCTGTTCCCACTTCTGGCCGTAACTGGTGAAGCACCGTACACCAGACTGCTTGGGGACATGGCCAGGTCCCAGGGGGCGTGTGTCTAGTTTGGTGACAGCTGCCAGACTTTTCCCACAGTGGTCAGTCGCGTTACCCTCTGACCAACAGTGAATGCGAGTTCCCAGAAGGGTCACTTTTAATGCAGTGATTCCTCATGTCACATACTTAGCGTTGTATGTCACTAAGACTCCGTGTTAACAGTGCTCATCAGTATGGAAGAGGTGTGAGTATGCAAATATTTGATGTGTTGCAGTTTAAGAACAGTGTTACCCAGACATTTTTGGTGCTGGTTTTGGTACACAGACCCCGGGGACTGTCCACGTACATTTTCTTGCTGGCCAAGCAGTGTCCATCTCTGTCCCTTTTTCAGCCACTTTCCTACCCCACAGAACTTTGTTTGTCTGCATGCCAGTCCCTCGTCCTGTGTTCTGGCTCGCTCAGTGTTAACAGTCTCCATGTCTCTTTTTTCCACCTTTATATTTAGAACAGATAAGATACAGTGTCATGCATGTAAATAATTACATAAGACACACAGTGTGTTGTTACATATATAACACATGTGCTATATGTAGTCATGTGTGCACAACGACGGTTTGGTCAGTGACTGGCTATGTATATGACAGTGGTCCCAGGAGATTACAGTGGAGCTGACAAGTGTCTGTCACCCAGTGATGTCCCGGTCACTATAACATCAGCACAACTCACTGCTTGCATGTTTGAGGAGGTGTTGGTGTGAAAACCTGTGCTGTCAGCCATGTGAACCTACAGCACATGCAGGTACAGTCAGGGGCTGTCCAGCCAGGTGTGCGTGACTGCCCTGCGGTGCTCACACAACGATGAACACGCCCGAGGCGCAGTTCTCACTGCTGAGCAGCGTGTGACTGCATAGCGAGAGAGTGGGAGTGTGTGTGTGGAGATCTGTGCACTCTGCTGTCTTCAGACGGGACCTCGGGCTTTGGGGCGTGCCAGTACGCACGGGGCCGCCGTGTCCTTTCTTTCAAAAATACTGGTTTGAGAAAAAGTGAGTCTCTTCTCGACTGTGACCTTGACTGAGGTGCGTAGGGTAAAACGCGAAAGGCCCGGAACTGCACTGCGCTCGCTGCTCCGGCTTCTCTGACCAGGGTGCGGCGTCACCGTTGCTGAGTTCACAGAGATGGGGCACGTTGTGGGTGCCAGTCTTGGGCGCACTCGTGCTCTCCGCGCGCTCTGTCACGGTGCGCGACATCCTGGCAGCTTTCCGCATCTGTGGCAGCCCCTTTGCGAACTGTACGATGACTTCCCCTCATTTATTTAAACGTTTTCTATCAGCAGGCGTTTTATTCACTTTCAGATTTTTTGGCCGTTCGTAAACAGTGCTGCTGTGAGCATTCTCATGTCTTCGCTACACTTGTGGGTGTGTGTCTTTTCCGTTTTGTTTTGTTTGTAAATTACAGTTTACATTCAGCATTTTGCATTAGTTTCAGGTGTGCAGCATAGTGGTCAGACAGTCACATACCCCGCAGGGTGCTGCCACAGACCCACCTAGCACCCGCCCGCACCGCACACGGCTATCACTGCGTCATTGGCCGTGCTGCCCATGCCGAGCTGCACAGACCGTTCTGTCACCTCCGGGCTGTGCTTCTCTGCCCGGCTCCTGTTCCGCTCAGTCCCTCCCTCAAGCCCCTCCCCTCTGGCATCCGTCCTCTGTTCTCTATCTGTGGGTCAGTTGCTGTTTTGTTTGTTCATTCATATTGTTCTTAATGACTTAAAGTGTCAAAGAACATGTGAAGTCTTGGAAGATAATGCCTGAAAATAAGGTGAAAGCCAGACATGGCATATTGCTTTGATAAAATGAAAAGTGTAAGAGTAAATTACAAGTAGGCTTTGCAAAAGCAGTTGGCATGGCCCTCTTGAGACTGAATAGGGAAAATAGAAAAGAAAAAAGACAATAAAGAGAAGGTACATGAAGAATATAGTGTATAGTAAGTGCTTAGCTAATATTAATCCCTTTCTCTCTAAACTGATTTAAGAAAATAAAAGTCTTTGTATTAAGGAGATATTTTTTCTTTTAAAGGGAAACCTAGTTTTCATTTTTATTGCAATAGAAAGTAAGATAGCCATTCAGCATATTTACAGTATGTTTGGCTGTAGATAAAATTTAATATATTTTCTCACGTAACAAACTGTGGCCAGGCCAGGCATGCTGTGGGTGTGTGCTCTGGGACAAATTTGTAGAAGTTGAAACATACACACACACACACACACACACACACACACAAAGAAATGCAGATTCAAGGTGTATAAACATCACATAGTTTGCAGATATTGCCAGCTGGTCCCCAAAGAAGCTGTAACAGTTTGTCACCAGCAGTGATGACATGAGAGTGCTTTCTGTTAACCCTGCACCAGCTTTTCATCTTTGCCATTCTGATAGATACAAATGATTTTACTGTTTTACTCTGCTTTGTTAGATTACTTATAATCTTAGATTATATGTGCTAATTACTTGTACTTCGTTTTCTGTAACTTCTTTTAAATATCCTTGCTCATTTTCCCCTTGGGACATTGGGGAGGGCTGCTTCTAAATTCTTTTCCTTGCATGTGCTTATAGTGAATCCTTCTCACCTCCGCAGAAAGTCATCCGGCACATCTGTGGGAGACTGACAATGATAAATGTGTCCTGAAGGTTTTACATCACAGTCATTTTTTTATAGGAACATACAAACCTCGGGTCCGATGCTATGATACCTATCAGTTATCCTTGAAGTTTGAAAGGTGTTTAGATTCAGAAGGTAAGTAAGACGTTAAATTTGAATTCACGACAATTGCTTCCTATATTTGGCTGCTTTTCTGCTTATTGAAATGAGAACAGGTCGTGTGTTCATTTTCTATGCTGTGTGACGAAGTACCATAGATGCCCATTTACTGGCTCCCAGCTCTGTAGGTGAAGTCCATCAGTGGCCTGGTGTGTGCTGGACTCAGGGTGTCAGGTCGGACGCCCATCCAGAGGCGCAGGGCAGGAATCCGCTTCCGAGCTTTCGAGCCGTTGGCAGCATGAGGTTCGTTGTGGTTCTAGGACTCAGGGACTGTGTCCTGCCGGCTGTCAGCCTGGGCCACGCTCTGCTTCTGGAGGCTGCCTGCAGTCTTAGTCACCCGGTCCCCTCCACCTTCAGACAGCAGCTCCCTGGGCCTTTCTTGGTCCTTCTGACTTCCCTTCTGCTGCCAGCGGGAGAAAACTCTGCTTTTAAAGGGCTCCTGTGGTTATAAATCACCCCTTTGGCGCATGAGGTGGCAACTCACGGCATTCACGGTCCCACCCACACTCTCCAGAGAAGGGGACTGTACAGGGGGTGGAGGGAGGCCCATTCTTAGAATCCTGCCCATACAGAAGCAGGCTGAAGTGGGGCGGTTGGGCCATTTTTGTCAGGCAGCCTCCTGTTTGAGATCGGGGCAAATGGATGGGGGCTGAATCCTCCTAACTTGTCTCACGGGAGACAAACTCCCTGTGCTGCTCATCATAACTGTTTCCATCTGTGTTTGTGTACCCGATGCACCACGAGTGAGTAACAGTTACTGTTCTTCTATGTATTGATTTCTAGAGAGAGAGAAACATTTTGTGGTTTGACTCATTCATGCACTCATTGGTTGTTTCTTGCATGTGCTCTGACTGGGGATCGAACCCACAACCTCAGCGTATTGGAATGATGCTCTAAGCAACTGAGCTACCTGGCCAGGGCCACTATTATCTTTTTTTTAGCAAAATTTTGAATATTCTTTAATGTCTATTTTATTTTGAACATTTCAGAAAAATTGGCAAAATTTAGAAGTCATTGTGTTTTGTGGATTTATTTTTAAATTGGCGTCGGTTCTGTACAAAATCTAGCCAATGAGTACTGAGAAATGAAAAGTTTAAAGTTTTCCATTTGGTGTTTTGGGAGCAATGTAATATGGCAACTTTGTTTCTATATAGGGCAAAAATGGCAGAAAAACCCAGCATTTGTATATAACTTTTGTGTCGAATTAGAATCTTCTCAGTAAGTTTGCATTCTTATTAACTGATGATTATGTTTTCTTCTTACCGTTTCTTATTTTCCAGTGGTCACATTTGAAACGTTGTCTGATGACTATTCAAAGGTGCGTCTGATTGGCTTGTGTCCTCAACACACGAATGAGTGGCATTTATTTTCACAGTGTGTCTTTATGATGTTTCCATTGTGAAATTTAAAATGGTTGTGTAGTAAAACCTGTCATTTTCGGTTAATATATTTTTCGTTGGTCGCGTGTGTAATGTATACTGTCTTTTCAAACAACAGTGATAGAGGTAGGTTTGTCCAGTCTGACACTGAAATAAATTTTCCACACCACATAGGAAACCTTGTCTGTATTTTTAAGAATTGGCAGCAGTCACATTTTTTTTTATTCCAGATACGTGATTTTTCATTACTGCACTAAAGCTAGTGTTATTGCAAGGTCGTTGTCATATTCATGTGTGAAAAGTAAAATAGCAACGTTGTATATTTAATTTTATTATTTCTGCAAATCAGTGGTTGTGGCACATTTCTGAAACAACTCAGAACACAACCAGTATTGTATATTTTTTTCTTTGCCATATTCGATTTCAGTGAAAAACTTTTAACGATGTCCAGTGTCATCTTAAAGGAAAATTGAATTTCCTGAGCTGATGTGACTTCCTGTGTTGTCTTCAGTTCTGGAAACTGTGGAGTAGAGTTCATCCCTTTGCTTACAGTAGCCTTTTGTCATGTGTTTGGGGACACATGTAATTTTATAATCTGTTCAATGTAGATACTGATAAATTTGCTTTTAAATACCACCCGCAGATTTTAAAGATACCTTTGTAATTCACTAAGGTTGAGTTTATATAAGTCTATCAAACCCTGTCTGATGAGCGGGAGATTATTGAAATGTGTACGTGGGAATTACTCACTGAGGGTGCTGAGCATGTACTGAGAATTACTCTGTTGTGAGGTGTCAGTGTCAGAGGAGGGAAGGGCTTTTGTGTTCAGCCTTTCAGTCAAAAGGCAAGGTTTGCAGAAAAGCTCTCGAAGGTGCAGGAAGCCGTTGAGTGCTTCGGCGGGGGGGTTGATTCTTGGTCACAGTGGTTCGTCGTGGTGGAGAGTGTGTGTGTGTGGAGACGCGTGTTTACCGTGGGAGGAAGGGGGGGGAGGTCAGAGGCTTCCAGGCTTTGTTGGTTTGCTTACTAATTTTGTTTCATTTTCAGATCGTCTTCTTACATAATGATCGATACATTGAATTCCACTCACAGTCAGGTTTTTACTACAAAACCAGAATCCCAAAGTTCGGGAGAGACTTCTCTTACCATTACCCGTCCTGTGACTTGTACTTCGTTGGCGCAAGGTATTGGGTCTGACACCCTCCGTTTTCACCTCCACCTCACTGCCCAGGCAGCTGCTGTTCTTAACGTGGAGGAGAGGAATTGAAAGGAGAATAAGCCGTGGTCTCTGCCTTTCAGTCGCTCACAGGGCATAGTTCCAAAGCAACAGGATGTCTTAGAAATTCCATCTCTGACTCTTTCTAGCAGGGTGTTGTAAACCCAGGGGGAGGGGGGCAACCTGAGGGGGTCACGTTAGTGGTGGAGCAAGTTTCTTAGCACCACTGCAAGGCATTTAAAAGCTTTTTCTTCTTACATGCTGCCTTCTTTGTGATTATAAAAATAACACATCTATTTGCAAATATTGGAAAATATAAAAAGTATAAAAAAGAAAAAATCATAATTATGCCATCCGAGGAGAACCCTTATCAGTCTTTTATTGTGGTTCCTTCTAGTCTTTTCATATAGGCACGTGTACGTGCGTTTTGGATCTCGTGTTCTCTGCGTTACTTATAAATAGTAGTCTCCTTAACGACTTCGTGGTATTTCCCTGGCACACGGGTGGCCCAAGTCACTTTGTACAGGAGCAATCTCACAAGTAGGTGATTATTTTTAGTTTTAGAGGACACTTTTGTATTTTACAAAAGAGCGATGCTGTGTCACACACACACACACACACACACACACACACACAAGGGGGGTGAAAGCAGGTCTACAGTTGTGCATATACAAAGCAGTTTGTTTTGTGTTAATTATTGTATTATTCTCCATACAACTGTAAGCCTGCTTTGCCCACCCTTGTCTATATTTTTAAAGATTATATGTATTTGAAGAAAAGTTTATCGTAGCTTACTTTTAAAGTTACCTATTTTTAACTTTTTGTTACTTTGCAGCTCTGAAGTTTATAGATTAAATTTAGAACAAGGACGGTACCTAAATCCTCTACAAACAGATGCTGCGTGAGTACTTTGGTTTAAGAATATTGCTATGCTTATTCCGGCCAGGAGGTGGAGCCAGATGCTCAGGCTGTTACGAATTACATGCCCTGCGACTGTGGTGCTGGGCCACTGAATTAAAAGGGAGTCACACTAAGTTTTCTTTCTTAGACAGAAAATTGACTGAAAAACCTAATGATTTCTTAAAATTTTTAATTTTTAAAAAACATACTTGAAAGTTTCAAAATTCACTAAAAAGTTCAGTTTATTATTTTTCATAGTCTTTACATTTTCATTCATGATTTTGTTCTTGTGGAAAATTTTTTAATTAACTTGGTACTGTTTTTAAATTTTTATGTTTTTGCCAGCAGAAATTTAAGGGTTTTCTCACTTTTATTTTATCACACATTACTGTCCACACTCTTGTTTTATTTAAAGAGAAGTCCTTTAGGAATGAAGCTATCGTAATGATAACGTTGAGTAGTAATAATACTAATAGTGAAAGGGGTTACTGTGTCAGGCATTAGTCAGTACTTCATGTGTACTAACTCATTGTAAACTTATAATACATCTTTATGGTGGGAGCTGAGGCTCAGAGACGGTGAGTAGCTTGTCCAAGTCACGTAGCTAGTCAGGGATGGAGACTCGGTTACTTCTTCTCTGAATGAAGAGCTGGTTGGATTTTCCTTGTTGCTTTGAAAGGGTTTTTAAAGGTTGGAAGAACATTTACTGATAAAAAACCAGGTGAATTCTCAGTATTTCTTTTCACATTGACTTGAAATCCTCTTATTTCCTTTAAAAAATGATAGTGCATCGTTGAATAATAAAAATTTATCTTTCCTTTAACTATACAATTTTCTGTTTATAATAACAGCCATTTGATTTTTTACCTTCACCCAAGGACATGCTCATTGATTTTAGGGCGGGGGAAGGAGTGAGAGAAACGTCATTATGATAGAGAAACATCAGTCGGTTGCCTCGTACACGCCCTGACCAGGGACTGAACCTGCAACCCAGCCATGTGCCCCGAACGGGCATTGAACCTGTGACCTTTTGGTTCACAGGATGATGTTCCAACCCACTGAGCTATACCAGCCAGGGCATAACAGCCATCATTATTGCGTGTCTTGTATATTCTGGGCACTGTGCTGAACATTTTGTGGTTTTTCCATTTAGTCCTGAGAACAACCAGGTGAGGGCGATGAAGTATCCATTCTTCAGACAAAGAAAACCCGGCTTAGAGCAGCCTACCCAGCTGAACCTGGTCACGGCTCAGGATCGGCCCGGTTGCAGCCCGTGTTCTTTTTGCCTTGGGAGAAAATGTATTGAGAAAGTAGAGTGAACCTTTATTCTCACGACCGTGTGTCCAAGGAAGTTCTTCCCTGTCTCATCCCCTGGGAGATGGAGTGTCGCCCTGGGAATCAGACACCTGGGCCCCTGAGTGCCGGACTTAACTCCTCCGTGCCTGGGGGCTTTTTACGTGCAGATGACAGAGAGTCTGCATGTCTCCTTTCTCTGCAGGTCACTGTTTGTTGAGCAAGGCTACTGGGTGTCCCTCCCCATGAAGTAGAGGCTAACATGCTCTTCCTCATTGCTTTATTGTTTTAGGGAGAATAATGTTTGTGACATCAATTCAGTGCATGGCTTGTTCGCCACAGGAACAGTAGAGGTAAGCATATCCTGACTTGACTTTTTAAAAAATACTTGTTTTACTTTTGATAATGAACAAAATTTTATTTAGAGACAGAGTTGCTTGGTTCCTGGGAGCTGCACGCTAACGAGGCGACAAGCCCCGGGTGTGCTTTCTGTGTGGGACGTTGTTTGGGTTGCTGCGGGCTGTCCAGTCTCACCACTGGTGTGGCGCGCTTTGAGTCTGGTCTCCCGGCACTGGATGGGAGGTCACTGCTGGGTCCCGGCTCCAGGGGGCAGCGTGACAGCCATTCTTGTTCCCCGTGACCTGGGTACCAGGTTATGGAGCCCAGCTGTCTGCCGCTTGTTATTGATGGCTGCGAATCTTTCCCTGAGGCTGTTTCCTCATTGGTGAAACGGGGACAATAATCTGTACAGTGCCGGCTTTAGAAAGGTGCTGGTGAGACTCGTGTGAGCCAGTCTGCAGGAGAACAGTGTCACCTGTAAAGGCAGGTGGGGCTGTCACTCAAACGTCCTGTACAGTAGCAGCCAGCAGATACACAGTGCTTTCCTTTTGTTCATTTTTTCTTGCAGGAGGGGCTTGAAAGTTTTTATGCATTGATTTTAGAGAAAGAGAGGAAGGGAGGGAGCGAAAGAGAAACATCAATCTGTTCCACGCATTCAACGGTCGATTGTTGTATGTGTCTCGACTGGAACTCGAACCCGCAACTTGGGCGCTTCCCTTCAAACTGCAGTGCCTCTGATTCCGTGTCCTTCACACTGGACGGGGTTTTCTAGATTCGCGTTCTTGAATACAATAATGTTAAATACCCATAGTGGTTTTTTTTTAAACAGCAAATGTGTCAGAAAGATATTATTTAAAAAGTGTCCTCTGTGCCTTTTAGTCACTGGGTCGTACCGCCCGGAGGCTCCTCTTTGGTGGTTGGCAGTGTCACCCCTCGGGTTCTCTGTGTGCGTGCGGGTGGGTGTGCACACACACGGGTGTGCACGAGCGTTGGTGCCACGACTCTGCAGCTCACTTACAGATGACGTTTCTTACGGCGCTCGCTTCATGTGATGTTGTAAAAATACACATTTTTGTGCAGCGGTGCTTACAATCAATCACAGTACCCAACTAATTTGTGTGAACATCAGGGTTCCATCGTTTGAATATTGCGTAGTTGATGAAGCCAGTCCCACATGGACGAAGCTTAAATCTCCTAACTCAGGTTATTTTTACGTTAGGAGATCAGGATTTGAAACGGGATACGTAATGTTGATTTAATGGAAACATTTAAAATGATGTTGAATGCGTTATAATACTCTTATGCCTAAATCAGGCCAGTGGCTCATTCTCTTGGTAATTCTTTTCTTTAGATTACCGAGGGAAGTTTTAAAATAGTTTTCTTGAAAAAATAGTTTTTAAATAGAGCCCTTGCAGAACAACGTCGGCTAGACAGCAGGGCAGCGCTTCCAGAGGGAGGTCACGTGTGGGGGCAGCCCCGAGATGCCATGGCGGGAGCAGGCCCCCGGCCCTACAGCTGGTTCCTGAGGTTTCCTGATCGTTGGGGCTTGAAATTTCATATGCATAGTCAGACCAGACTTTAAAAATTCATTTTTACATTAATTTTGATGGTATGTTGTTTTTTAAAAAGATTCTATTTATTTCCAGAGAGAGGGGGAGGGAGAGAAGGGGCGCAGAGAAGCATTGGTGTGCAGGAGAAACATGGGTGGCCTCTCTCGTGCCCCCACTGGGGACCTGGCCCACAATCCGGTCATGTGCCCTAGCCGGGAATCGAACTGGCAACCCTTTGGTTCACAGGCCAGCATTTGGGCCGCTGAGCCACACCAGCCAGGGCGATATGTTGGACTTTGATTTCTTCTGTTTCAGTTGCTGTAATATTTATTACTTGTTATTGTCAAATCAGGCAGTAAGGGTTTGCGTTTTGGCCTTTTTGAAGTGCATTAGATGCAGGCTTTAGCAATAGGAACAGTCACATTTGGGCACAAAATCACCATGGTTAGAAAAACCATTTTGTATTTACTCTGCAGTTTATCTGCAGACCCATTTTTTACTTTTGAAGTGCCGACTTTCCGTCTTCATGTCTGTGGAGTCTGTCGACTCATTTCGAGGAGACGCAGACTGGACCAGACCGTAGGGAGTTGTCTGCTGCACGATGCGTGGGGTTTTATTCAGGTCTTTGTGACAGACACGTTGTAGTAGTGATAATGAACGAAGAATGAGGTCACACCGTCCAAGTACATTTGAGGTCTTGCTTTTGAGGTGGCTAATAGTGTAAGCAAGTGTTTATCTCTGTGTATGTCTGTGTTTTACTATCGAGGCCTTCTTGGTGTCCGTCTAACAGCTTTCTAGGAGCAGCTCGTGCCTGAAACTGCCGTTTGTCTGTGTAGGGCCGAGTGGAGTGCTGGGACCCGAGGACACGCGGCAGAGTCGGCCTGCTGGACTGTGCGCTGAGCAGCGTCACGGCGGACTCGGAGTAAGTGGGGGTCAGTCTGCAGTCTGAGTATCTGTCAGCCTCTGCAGACGCGTCAGCACTGAATTACTGAAGGATGGGCTTGTTTAGACTTAGGTCCGAGGTGGTAGTTTTTGTGGTCATTTTCTGTAAAAATCCTGGGCTCCGAGAGCCCACCGGGCAGGTAGGCCAGGTGGGGTCCCTCTGTGAGGAGAGCAGCGCAGATACGGATGGGGGTGGCAGGCTGCCGTTATTTGTAGGTGACACGTTATTTGCCTGCCTGAGAAACCCAGTACAGTCCATTGGAAAAATATAGCAACTATTATGAGACTCAAGTAAATTGGTTGCAAAATAAATGCACAAAATATATGGCTTTGATATTTATCAGCAGTGTCCAGTTAGAAAGATACGAGGGAAACAGTTTACATTTATAACAACCAAAATCGTAAAATACTGAGAGATAAAGTTATCTGAGTAAATGACAATTTATTAGGAGACAAAAATTTTGAAAAAGTGAAGAAAAATGACATATTACTGCACCGAATATCCATCGGAGGGGTCATCTCGAAGAGTAAGCGACTGTGAGTAAGGTAGGCGAGTGGCCTTGAGGTTTCCAGCTGATGCTCACCGTAGTTCTGGGCTGAGGCTTTAGGGGGCGTAAGTGGCACGAGGATGCTGGCAGTCAGCAGCCCAACGGTGTGCAGGGCCCGGGCCAGAGACACCCAGGTGGTGAGTGGTGATGCGAGGACTGGCGTTCGCTTGTCCCCATCGCTTGTCCCCAGCGCCTCCTCCACCCAGCTCACTGCTCCTGGTGCTGCTGCTGCTGGCGGCCGGGTGAGAGGCACGTTCCGGGTCCGTGACCGTAACCGTTCATCGTTCTCGTTACTTTTAGAGATTCCAGGGTCCCCTTTGCACCCCAGTCTTTTATTTCGGCCTGGACACAGCCAGCTTTAAAAAGGGGAATGGGCACACCTCGCCTGGGTGTGAAATGGCCTCCTCCTGAGCTGAAAAGGGGGTGTTTCTGTAAATACCTAATCCTGGCTTAAAGTGATACTGTCCTACTGAGTCTTTTAATTGGTTTTGTATTTGCAGAAGTTTTTTGTTTGTTTGTAGCTACTTTTCGAATATTTATTATAGTTTTTAAGATAATCTACAGGTTTTTAAAGGTAGACTACTTTTATACATAGGGCTTATTTTTTTATTTTGACTAAGTTTGGATACCATTACCTTTTTAAAAAGCAAGCCAGACATGTGACTTTTCCCATTAGACTTGAAGGGTTTTTTAAAGTGATTTTATTTATTGCTTTTTAGAGAGAGGGAAAGGTAAGGGGGGGGAAGGGAGGGAAAAAGAGAGGGGAACATCAATGTGTGGTTGCCTCTCACACCCCACTACTGGGGACCTGGCCCACAATCCCGGCGTGTGCCTTGACTGGGAATCGAACCGTGACCCTTTGGTTTGCAGGCCGGCGCTCAATCCACCGAGCCACACCAGCCAGGGCTGAAGTGAAGATTAATAATGAATCTGTTACTTAGAAGAAGGTTTGGCTGTGTACACAAGGAACATGAATGTTTTGCCTTCCAGGATAAACAGTCTACCAACAATCTCTGCTTTGAAGTTCCACGGCGCCCTGACCATGGCAGTTGGAACATCCACAGGGCAGGTGAGGGTGTTTAAGTTGGAAACTTTACATGTGAGTTAGTGCTTCAGATCCGTGTGTGTGTCGTGGGAAACGTCCTCAGGTCTTCGCCATGGGAACAGGAAGTGAGGCCCTTTACAGGGTGGGGCAGAAGGAGGCTTACCGCTGTGAGTAGGTGAAACACGGAATTTACTCTTACAGTGTTTATTAACTACTGTATTATTTTCCACACGACAACCGTGAGCCTCCTTTTGCCCCGCCCTGTGTGTTGAGGCTGGCGTGGAGAACACACTCCAGAATGCCGTGTTCTCTCGGCACCCGGAGAACGGTGCTTCTGACCTCAGTGGCGAGTCCAGGAGGCGCCCGAGCTGGAGCTGCAGGGGTCTGTGAGCAGAGTGCTGCGGTCCGAACGTGTGGTATTCAGGCAGGTCCACTCCTGAGATCCATAGTGCGTTCAAGTTTATGTTGAAAGCCCGAGAATTCCTGTGGACGAGAAATGTGTCTAATAAGTATTCCCACAATGTATTTGTCCCAGGTGTGTTTTTCCTTCAGCACATGAGCTGAACCCCATGCGGCGGGGGTGCTGGTCTGGGAGCGCGGGTGAGACGCCTTCGGAGGCTGCACCCCATCTGCTCCTCCTTCCCTTCACGGCAGGGTGCCCCCCTGTGAGTGCACTCTCCTCCCAGACCAGGTCCGAGACCCAGCCTCTGCCATCACGGTCACAGGAGGGCTTGTCACCCGGGTCGGAGATTGAGCTTCCCCAGGCTCCTGCTTCTAATGTCGGGGCTCTCCCTCCTCCCCCGCTCCTCCCCACCAGCCCCAGCTGCCCCCAGCCGTAGCCTGGCCACCACCATCTGTCTTGACCCTCCCAGAACCATCTCCTGTACGCCCGTCGTCTGGTGTCTGTCACTCGCTGCAACAGCGCCTGGCACTCAGCAGGCCCGCAGTCGACACCTTTGTCAAATTCCCAAATGACAGAAACCCTCAGGCTTTCCTTTCCGTTCCTTTCTTAGCGTAACTCAGGAGTTCTCAGTCTCAGTGTGCCTGAAAATTCTCAGGGTTGAATTTGTAAAACCACCTTCTCTGAGGATAATCTAAGAGACTAGGGTGTTCTGCTGGCTGACTCGGGGACCTGTGCACCTGGGGGGTGGCGATCATTGAACTCATAGAGTGGCAGGGAGGCAGAGGGTGGCCACTGTTGTCAGCTTTTAAACTTGCTTTTTAAGGTAAAATGTTTAGTTTGTTTGCACAGAAGTAACTTGTTTTTTTTCCATTCAGGTCTTACTCTATGACCTGCGGTCAGACAAGCCGCTGCTGGTTAAGGATCACCGGTACGGGCTGCCCATTAAGTCACTTCATTTCCAGGAGTCTTTAGACTTGGTTTTGTCTGCAGACTCTCGGGTCATCAAGATGTGGAATAAGAACTCAGTACGTGTTTTTCTGTTGAAATTTCTATTAAAACCAATATTTTCTTAAGAATATCTGATGTTCTCTCCCCTCAGCTGCAAGTGTTGTTTTAAAAATGGCAAAATCTTACGTTGCTGGTTTAATCTGCCTTCTGCTTTTCATTTTAAAACATAAATATTTTCAGAGAAGTAAAGGTTAGTTCAACTAACTGGGAAAACATTCATTCAATACAGCTTTTAAGAGTTTTTTGCATTTAATTACAAACTTAGCATCTTTAGTCAAAAAATGTCACTTCTTTTTTTGAATGATTTTATTTATGTATTTTTAGAGAGAGGGGAAGGGAGGGAGAGAAACATCAATGTGTGATTTCCTCTCACACGCCCCCTACTGGGGGCAAGTAACGCAGGCAAGTGCCCCGACTGGGAATGGAACCAGCAACCCTTTGGTTTTCAGGCTGGCGCTCAAACACTGAGCCACACCAGTCAGGGCTCCTTTTTTTCCTTTTAATTCATTTTTGAGATGAAGTGGGTGGAAGTCTAGCAGCCTCGACCTTAGTTTCCGGAGCGTCCATCTCCGCCGTGGTGCTGCCCACAGCCCCACACGGTTCCACTGCTTATCCAAATCCACGGCTGCTCAGACCAGCTCTTTGGTCTTTCACTTCTGTGCCGTCAGTCCCCAGAGCGGTGACCTGACTGAGCCGACGCTCTTTTCCTCTCTGGACGTGTGGTGGGGATTCTGAGTTGTCCCCGGGGCGTGCCCTGCCTCTCAGGGCCAGGTGTCTGCTCACCTCCCGTGGCCCAGGCCACGTCAGGGAGGAGGAGAAGGCTCCAGCTGGTCTCAGTTCTGGGGAGGGTCGCCCCGGTGCTCCCCCGGGACCGACTGCTGCTCACCTTTGTTGGCTTCGATTGGGAGGGTTTGAGGGCTTTCTTAGGAAGTTTCCTGGTGTGCCCTGGAATTTTCTCTGTTCTTTTTCTGGTAATCAAACGAATGTCCTTTAGAACAGTATTTATCTTCAATGCAAGAAATGCTGACATTGTATTTTATAAAATTCATAAACAGCTAGGCAAGTTAGAAAGTGCCCTTGACCTGGTATTCATGTTAGTTCAAGGTAATGAGTGTTGCCAGTTTGGATGTGTCCTCCCAGACCCTTTAACTGGGGCGCGTTTTTCCCGAGTGTGGAGTTTTTTTCTATCCCATGCTGTTATAGTTCTCTTTTTCCCTTCCTTTTTTCTTCCCTCTTTCCGTCCTGTTTCTGTGGGAATTGAGAAGAACAGGGAGGTGGCTGTGGGAATTGCAATGTCTTGAATGAGAACTTGGCTGCCGTTTTTCACTGAGCACAAACTTGAGCCTCCCCTTTGCCATGGGAGGCTCTGCTCTTGAGTTGATGCGTGCAGGAGCCAGCTGGCTTCTTTCACATCGGCCCGTGGAGTCCCCAGGCTGCAGTTGCTACGATGAGTTTTATTTTGGCGTTGTTGTCAATGACTAAATACGCCCCATGGACCAACACCCACTCTCTTGGTTTTGCTTGACTAGCTTTCCTTGTGTGTCTTTCTCGTCACCTTTTTCTGTTCTCATCTTACCTGCTGTTTCTTCTTGTCTTACTTTCCTTCTGTGATGCTTTTAAAAAGAGCATGTTCCCCCTCACAGTTAAAATAATGCCTTGGGCTCGACTGTGTAACAGCCACCACCTGTGTGTGTACAGGGTTTCAGTGTGAGAGTTATTCTGCGTTTATCTTACTCGGCCCTCGGAGCCTGTGGCGCAGGGACAGCGGCAGTGTCCCTGTCCTGCCGTGCTGGCCATCGCTCCTTCAGCTTCCCTGGGTGCCAAGTTTAACTGGGGAGTGTTTTCCAGATTGTGAGAATTTGTTTAAGTTGACGTACAACTTTATTTTAAACTTTACCCTTCCCTGTTGTATAGATATTACCTTTAAAACCGTTTGTTTATTTTTTGGATAAGTCACCTCTCCCCCATGGGCCTCAGTTTCTTTGTCTCTAGAGTGAAAAGTATTTGATAAATTGATCAAATGAATTCTCTAAGACACTGTTGAAAAACTTGAATTCTGTGATTCCAACGAGCTCATTTTATTTCTTCACATCCCAGTATGTGTTTGAGCTATTTCTCAGTATATTTTCTTTACATGGGATTGCCAAAGCTGTCTTTCTCTACTTTAATGATTCCTTTTTTGGTTATTCTTTTAGGGAAAAATATTTACTTCCTTGGAGCCAGAACACGACATTAACGACGTCTGCCTCTACCCCAATTCAGGTATGCAGTATGTAGCCACGGGTTACTCAGCGAGACCAATCTAAGCTATGTGTTATGGGGTTTTCAACTCACTTCATTTCTTAAGACAGAATTTGGCTTCATTGGGACAGTTCCTAGATGTTGTATTTGCTTGAAAAGTCAAGAGCAGGAAGTGGTGTGGCTGATTCAGACAGTGGCCTCTCGGTGACTCAGTGCTCAGCCAGCCTCTGTCAGTGGGAAGCGGGAACAGACGGGCAGGTGGCGGGCGAGGTGCTGGGTCAGTGAGCTCTTCAGCTCTTCCGTGCGATGAGTAACAGTGAGTGGGAATCCAGGTTAGGGATGGGAGAGGGCCGTGGGGCCGTGGGGTCTGGTGTGTGCAGGGCACATGTGAGGAGATGGCAATCCCTGCAGGGCAAGTCTGAGAAGAACTGGATGTGCGAGAACATGAGAACAGTTCCTACTCTGAAGCATGGAATTTGGGACAAGGGGATCCCTGCGAGGGACCAGTGTAAGGACAGCACGAGGCTAAGAGTGGGGTAGGTAGGACAGGCCAGTCTGAGCTCGGGCTGGGTAGGGCTGGGTGGGCAGTGGTTGGGGAGGCGAGGGCAGGGTGCAGTAGCGCCAGCTCGGGTAGGCTGGGCTGCGACGTGATACCATCCACTGTGGCGTGATGCACGGGGCTTGTTTGGGGAAGGGGAGGTGCCTCATTCCAGGGTGTGGTGGCCCTAGGTGGGGTGAAGGGGGAAGGCAGGTGGCGGTTGATGGTGGAGGTCCAGGAATCAATGACATGCCGGATGGTTTGGGCTGTGCAGTCTGGACCTGTTCAGCCTGCTCATAGAGGGTAGGTCCGTTTTGAACTGGCTTGAGCAGGAAGCATGTTCCAAGCTGAGATCAGGAGCACAGAGAAGGAGCAAGTTCGGGAGAGAGGATTATTCTTTTTTAAACATTTGCATATTAGGAGGGGATAGTGGCAGTGTCTGGCAGAGGGTCTCAAACCTGGCTGCCCATCAGTATCACCTGGGGAGCTTTTACAAAGTACGGCTTCCTCGGTCCCATTTCAGGTGTACTGACTTGGAGTGTCCAGAGGAGCGGCCCAGAAACGTGTATTTTTAGCGGCTTCCCAAGTGATCGTGAAGCTCTGCCTGGACCTACAGCCTTGCATTGGGTTCCGGGTCACAGTAGAAAGTGTGGTCTCAGGGTGAGCAGGTCTGCAGACTCCTCCTTTAACGCAGGTCAATAAGGGCTCTCCCAGCGTGGGAGTGAACGGGATGCCGAGGGGAAGAGCGTGGGAGACAGGCAGGGACAGGGCCTTCGAGGGGCTGACAGTGCCAGAGCCTGCAGCTCTCGGAGTGGAACAGGAGCCGAGACGGGCGATTCAGTGGGCGCTGCTCCGCAGGGACTAGGACCGCCGAGGTTGAGGCAGGAGGGAAGAAGCAGACTTAGTAAATGCTCCGGTGCCAGCAGTCGCGGGGACAGATGCTGTGCCCGTGGTTTATCATTTACTCCTTTTAGAACCCCGTGTAGTTTTGAGGCACCCAGTGTTTTTTCCTTTCTGTCTATGGGTCTGTCTGTCTTACGTCTCAGGAGGCAAGGGAAACTGTGGCCACTGCTGGTGGCTCTGTGGTCAGAGCCTTGGGTGAAGCCGCCTTCACTGGTCCCAGAGCCCAGGCTCTTTCTTGTTACTTGCTGTGCACTCGAGACGGACAGAAACTCGGGGTCTGTGTGATTAGCGCTTCATCTGTGGCAGCTGGGAGGATTTCGGTGTAAGAGTGGGGTGCGTCAGACTCTGACGAGCTCAGGACTGAACTGCAGGTAGGGGGCTGGGTCCTAGCTGGGATCGAATGTTCCACGGTGGGGTCGGGCCAGGTCCAAGTCGAGTATAACCAGGTGGAATTGAACTTGGAACGCAGGTGATGCATAGGTTTAGCTGGATAGAGGGAGAGTTGGAGGGCAGCAGACAGTGATGAGAAAGTTCTGGACCTGTGCTGTCCCCTTGAGTGCCACCAGCCACCTCTGCAAGCCATTGAGAACTTGCAGTGTGACCACTCTGAATTGGGGTGTGCTGTAAGTGTAACACACACCCCAGATTTTAAAGACATTGTAGTAAAAAGAAAGGAATATGAAGACCATTAATTTTTATATCGATTACCTATTAAAATGAAAACGTTTGGGCCTACTGGGTTAATAAGGTAGATTAAAACTAATTTGCTGGAATATTTTAAATCACGTGTGTGGCGCGTGTGGGACTTCTGCAGGACACTGGTGGTCTGCACTTGGAGGTCTTTAATGGTTCAGGGTGCTGGCGAGCCGCAGGGCAGTAGAGTCAGCCGCGGGCACGGCACTGCTTCGCCTCCACGGAACGCCGCGCCGGCCTCACCGGAGTGGAGGTGCTCTGCTCTTCCGGTGGTCGGGGCAGCACCCGCCTGCCTGCCGAGGCCTTCCCTGAAGTGTTCCCTCACATCCAGGCCACGTCCAGTTGTCCCTGGAGATCATCCCCCAGACGCCTTAGTCCGTTCTTTAAAAAGGAGGATGTAATCAAAGTGTGAGTTGCACGTCCCTGTGGGTGTCTTCAGCTTCTTTCGATCCAGAAGTGGTCCCCTTGTCTTTTTTTCCTGCCCCACGACACGGGGTTTTCCATGATCCAGTCACTAGCCTTGTAGAGTGTCCCTTGTCCTGGATTTTCGTGGTTTCTTTCCTGCTGTAAGATGGTGTTTACCTTGTTCCTCAGGCACCTGTATTTTTTTCTAAAACAGAAGTTAAATCTGATGGCTTGATACACTACAGGTTACGTGCTCTGGACAAAAGTACTGCCCAGGGCTGCTGGTCCCCTACGCCGGCTGGCCTGCCCAGGGCCAGCGAGGCTGCGAGTGCTCGCCCTGTTGAGGCGACCAGCAGGTCTCTTCACTGCAAAGCGCACTTTTCTGAAACGTAAAAATGTTAAGAGTGATGCTTCGGACAGAGGCTATGACTGTGCTGTCAAGTAACTGATAAGAAGCTCACCAGACACAAAAGTAGCCAAATACTTCCTTTCAGGTGCTGGCAAGCGCAGTAAGACAGGGGCCTCAGCTGCGTCCCAGGGGTGTGGGTCCAAGCGGGGCTGGTTCACGTGCTCCTCTCTGTCCCTAACTTAACTTCACCCTGTCTTCTCCCTTTAACGCTGCTCTTGTTGTTCGGTGCTGAATCATTGTGAGCATAATGATGTTTCAGAAAAGCTAAATGTTTCTCTTTATCTTCTTTCTTACTCATTTTGGAGTGAAGTAGAGTCACGACTACTGTTTTGTAATGCTTTTCTGGTACTGAGATTGCTCAGAATCTTGGGAAATGGCCGCTCTTAGGTCCTGGCTTGTTGCTCATTCAGCTGGCTCTGCAGGTCAGGGCGCCCCAGAGGCAGCACTGCCCTTGGACCTGGGTGCGCATCTGCCTCACTCGGTGCTTACTGAGCTCATGTATGACAGAGCCCCTGCCCCGGCCTTGGGCAGTCAGGGTCACGGGTTCCAGAACCGCTGGCAGGGAGAAAAGGAGAATTGGACCCAAAAAGACCTAATTTGGGCTTCATGATCATGCAGATTACCCAGCCGCCGTGTTCCCACCTGCCTTCCAGGCTGTGGCGACGGCCTGTACCACCAAAGGTGAGAGCCTTTATTCTCGCCGTGCAGAGCACAGAGCTGTTCGGGTCATCTGTAACGTCCTTGGTGTCCCGTGTAGTAGTGTCACGTGCTCCGCACTCAGACCAGAGTTGAGGCACAGGAAGAAGCGTCCTGGCTGCGGCTGGTCTGTGCTGAGCTGTTCAAGGCAGTGAACAACACAGGGACAGACCACGTTTGGTTTTGCTTTGTTTTTAAATTTCCAGTTTGTTGCAGGTAGATTCTTTTGTAAAATGTAATGAAATGAATGGCTACAAAAGGACCACATGTTTGAATCTCACTGAAGTGTCGAATTGCTAATACAGGTTTATAAATTTTTTCTTTCACTTTCTACACTGCTCTGCCAGCCCTGCCCCAGCTAGGCTGGCCCCGGGACCACTGGGAGTGAGGAGTCCCGGCGTGGGGCGCTGCCACCATGGGGGGCCCCGGAGCGCGTGCGAGCCCGTGTGGATGGGTGCAGGTTCCTGGCAGGCGCTGTCCTCAGGCCACTTCTCTCTGACTGCGGTCACCCACCCAGTGCACTGCCCTCTGGTTCACCCCGGAGGTGTGTTCTCTCGACTCCAGGTGCTGGTGGTCTTTTAAAATACATATTTTTACTGTTGAAACCATAATAAACATCGGTATAAAGGAAATTTAAAATAAAAGCCATACACAGTTTTACAGTATTCTTTTCATTAGAGAAATTCTTCTATGGTGCACGTTTTGAATTAGCCTCACCGTCTATGTATATTGTCTTTTGTTTCTCAATTTGATAATATATTTAAAACATTTTTCACGTTGCTATACAGAGTTTATATTTGTGCTTTTTCGTGGTTTATAATTCGATCATGCAGGAAGTCCTTTCGTTTTGTCTTACTCAGTGGAGTCTCAGAGTTCCATGGCCCCTGGGCTCCGGAGCCAGGAGAGTGGCAGGTCCTCTCCTCGTTCGTTAGCTGTGTGCTGACCTTAGCAAGTGACCGCACGGTCTGAGGCTGAAGCGCCCTGTGCAGCGTCCCACACTCTCCTCCTCTTTCACCGCCGACCGCCTTCATTCCTGTGGAACTTCCACTGGTCTGATTTTTCTGTCTCTTGCTCGTTAGGAACTTCCCAGACTCCTCAGGGCTCTGTGCGGCCGTTTGTCTTTCTCATTCCCAGTTGGGTTCCGTCACTTCAGTTTGGTTGGAGGTTAGCTCACCTCACTCTCCATATATGGCCAGGTGAGATCCTGCCCTGGTGTGGAAAACATCTGTGCCCAGTGGGAATTCTTCTGTGTGCTTGGACTAGAGCCTTTCCTGGGGGTTGCTGGGGAGAAGTGGCTGTTTCTCTGGGGAATGTTCGGTGTCGAATGTTTGGTGTTCAGCATTGAGCCGGTAAATCCAGGTGTGGGGACGTGTGTGGCACGAGCCTTCTCGTTGGCTCCTCAGCCATGGGTCTGGGTCTGGGTCTGGGTCTGGGTCTGGGTCTGGGTCGGGTCTGGGTCTGGGAGGCCCCAGCAGTGCTGCCGAGAGACACAGGCAGCGCCTCCCAGGAGGTTGGGTCCTGCCGTGGCGACTGCAGGGAACATCTGTGTCCAGGGCCAGATGAGCGCCCAGATGAAACGTTTGCAGGAGCTGGGATCTGCGAAAAGGAGTTTTGCTTTGCTTCTAGACACACATCCTTTTCTCCACCTCACTATGTGCTTTTAGATGCTTTCGTGGTGCATCTCTGTGCTTTGGTGAGCGTTGGTCTCGGCTCAGGGCCAGCTGCCACTTGGGAGGCGTGTCCGAGATCTGAGGCCGCTGAGGCCGCCTGCTGTTCAATTGTTGATTGTTGACCTTATCTGAATGTTTCATTTCTGTAACAGCGCAAATATACTTTTACAAGCCTTCTTTTCAAAGGTTTTATTTATTAACTTTTAGATAAAGAGGGAGAGAAATATTAATGTGCAAGAGATACATGGATCAGTTGCCTCTCTCTCGCCCCCGACTGGGGACCTGGCCCACAACCCAGGCCTGTGCTCTGACTGGGAATCAAACCCGTGACCTTTCAGTTCGCAGGTGGACACTCAGTCCACTGAGCCACACCAGGCAGAGCACAAGCTTTGAGCAGGAAAAAATACTTTTGAACATAGACTCAAATCGTTGTCCTTAACCTTTGGCATATCTGTGATCATGTGGCCTGACAGTCTCAACATCGTCTCGCTGTGGTTCCTCCGCTGCACTGTACAAATAGGTTTTCTGAATGAGCGTAATTTGGTTGGTTTGTCAAAGCGTGTAAAAACCAGAGCTCTCGAGTCTGCGTTTCAGCTCCAAAATTCTCATTTTGGAGAGAATGGCTTGAGACAGGACATCAGTTAAGAGCTTTGTTTTTTGACCTGTAAGAGCTGGGTGCTGGTGCGTGTCACTGACACAACAGACAGGGCCCGGCAGAGGGGACACCATTGAGTGCGGTTGGCAGGGCGTGTGAATGTCTTGCACGAGGTGAGCCACCTTTTGCACATTTCACCTAAAATGTCATACGGTGTGCTTGAGTGTGATATTGTTATGTTACAGAATTACATGCTCATGATTTTGCAATAAGAGATTTTTATGTAATAGAAAGGGGCCTTATTTGTGCCGAACCCTGTGTGCGAAGGCGCTCGGTAATTACAAAGGACCCTGTGGTGGCCGACTGCAGAGTCGTTGACGGGCATGACTGTGGAAGTGGCTGTGAGGGTGGGAGCTGCTTCAGGAGACTGGGGGGGTGGGGAGGAGCCCCGGCGGACGCAGCACAGAACCAAGAGCAGACCCTCAGCGCCGTGGCTCCGTGCCAGAGAGGGCGGACTTGGGGGTTGCTGCCGCTCCTGGGGTGCCAGGGAGACGCCCACTGCGGGCCGGAACGCGTCCCCGACTTCTCTGCCTTTTGAAGGGCTGACCTGAGAAGACCGAACTACTGGCGGCCTGTAGGCTCTGCCGCTCCAATCTTTCCAGAGCTCCCCGGCCCAGCCTGGCCGGCTGCACATGGCACTCCCGACGGTGTTTAGTTTTCAGCAGGTGTGAACTTGAAGTCAGGTGTGAGTGACTATTTTGCTGTGACATTTCGTGGGAAATACTTTGCCTCGGTTCTTTGATTCCCGATTGACAGGAAGGAGCCTTTTTCTTAACTTTGAATTTTTATTTGTATTAAATAGTACATTGAAACTCCATTTTCTCTGTGTGTCTGAAGCTTAGCACTGTCCCTGTGACACGTAAAGGCTGACATCTGAGCCCCTGGTGGTGGGAGGGCTCAAGGAGCAACCCAGGCCCTCCTGGGCCGTGGCGCATGGCCCGACCCCCGGGCGCCCGGCACTGCGCACTGTGTCCTGAGCACCTTGGACAGCGTCAGACAGGTAAGGTGCTTGTCCCTGTGTGTTCACCTTCTCTTTGTGTTTATTTTTAGGAATGCTCTTCACCGCCAACGAAACCCCCAAGATGGGCGTCTACTACATTCCGGTAAGTGATACAAATGCGTGTTAACATAAAAACGGGGCAAGCAAAATGCTTTATTTTTAAACGGGGCATATGGAGAGATTTTTGGGCCCGCGTGCGGCTGTGTGAGCCACACACAGCGGGTGTACTTGTAGGTCCACCTTGGGTCCCGGAGCCAGTAACACAGGGTCTGACTGTTCTTTACGGGCGACAACTCAGTGTCACGCGGACACAGACGCCAGGAGTCGGTCTGTGCTCTCCAGTTCGCATTCGCTTTTGTGTCTGGCGTTTCGTAATCTTACACTCTCGGCTGCCGGTGATCAAGAGGCCACATCCTGAAATGAGGGTCATGGGCTCGTCCGGTCTTCTCGCTGCGGTTGGTTTCTTCTCAAAGTGAGCTGCGTGTAAAAGGGACTCAGATTGACGTGAGCAGTGAGGATGCGCAGTTCGCACTCTGTCCTTTTTGAGTTTTGTTTTGTAAAGACTCTTCCTCTTACCTGTGCCGGAAGCCTCCCCTCCTTTACCTTTCAGTTCCTACCGGGAAAGTGAAGTAGGGACGTGCGCTCTCCTGAACGGGACTCGCAGAGCACACACGTGGCGTTAGGCGGCGGTTGGCAGGCCTCTCCCCCCGCCCCCCTCCCCCCGAGATCGGGGGAGAGGAGAGGAGAGGGGGTGAAGGAGCTCTCCAGACCACCCTCGGCCTTGTTAGGAAGATTCTTCGCGTGGGGCGGGCCTTTCATGCTGGCTTGGCCCTGTGCCTTTCCAGAGCGAAGCCGTCTGCTGGCATCGATTCTCTGTGGTTTCAGGAAACCCGTTTGTTGTTGGAAGCGCTTTGAGATGTTTCCTTTGGCTGCAAGTAGAATGAAAGCCATTCAAATAGCAGCTTTTCCATTTCCTTAAGTTACTTGTTCCTTGTTCCCCAGACTCTCACAGTCTCTCGTATTCCTGTCAGTTTGTCCGTCTTCCCTTGTCTTCATCTGTTCAGTGCTCACCGATGGTGGCCACTGTGTGTCGGGCACAGTGCTGTTTGCTGGCATCGGGAGTTGTACAGAGCACTGCCCCTTCCCCAGTCTCAGTCCCGTGTGATGAGCGCTGGACCGGCGTGTGGAGGAGGCGGGCTCAGGGCCTGGTGGGAGGTGAGGGGGTGCTCAGAGAAACCTGCCAGGGGCATTGACCGCCGTGGAGAAGACCTGCGGGCAGTGCTGCGTGCTGGATGCAGGGAGTGGGCGCGGAGTGGGAAGAGGATCTTGGGATTGGAGGGAATGGGGTGTGCAGAGATCAGGGTTCACGCCGTCCACACGGCTGCGCGGAGGGGTGGGAGCGAGGGCTGAGGCTGAAGAGGCCTGGCAGCCAGCCCGCGGAGCCCTGGGAAGCCAGGTGTGGCGGTGCAGGGCAGGCAGTCCTGGGGAAGGTGTGAGTGGCGAGTGGTGGTTCCGGAAGGGTTATTTCGGCTGAGCCTCTAGGAGGATGGATTAGATAGCATGTCAGCGGGAAGCCACCAGAATAGGCTGGAGCAATCCTTTGGGAAGATGATGGTTCGTGTGAGCCCTGGGCTGGGCCTCCGGTGTAGTGGGTGGAACGTGGGGGTTCTGGGTGGTCTGAGTGAGGTCCGATGGGCAGGCAGTAGTTTCAGAGGTTGGTAATCTGGAATTGCCTGGTAGTGCGTGTCAAGTCCTCGATGGGCACTCGCGTAGACTGCAAGAAACGTCTTCCATCATCTGGCGTGGCGGACGCTTCCCCCGGGTCAGCCCCCGTTAGGGATGTTGCCAGGAGAGGCCGAATACAGCAGCTTGCCCCTGACGCTCACTCCTCGTCCTGGGAGGGGTCTCCTCACCCCCCCTCAGGAGTGCACACTGTGCGTCAGTCCTCAGCGACTGCCGGAAGCCAGTGTCGTCAGTGTGGAGCCTCTCCCCACGTCAGAACTTGGAGGAGTCAGCCAGCGGGAGGGGACAGCCTCGCAACAGAACACGGGCGCGGGGGAAGGTCTGCGTGGCATCGTGGGCGACAGCGGCCTGGTGTGCGTGGGAGCAGTCCTGAGTGCTCGTGCCATCTTACCAACTTGTGCTGAGATGGCAGCGTGGGGACAGGGTGCGGGGGTCGCTGAGGCTGTAAGACAGGCCTGGTAACCCAGTGGGTGTGGGGAGCGAGGAAGGGGAAGGACCCAGAGGCTACAGCCCAGGTCCTGCTGGGGTCACGGTGGGGATGAGGAGGACGTTCCCTGAGTCCAGGAAGAGAGAGGGGAGTGGTACAAATTACTTTCCTTTTTCTATCACATTCCACATTTTATAAAATGCCCTTTAAAAGGAAAAACAGGTTTTTTTGATATGTAAACATTGCATGCATATTCCTGTTTATTCCCACTATTACAAAATGAAGAAAATAAAAACCATTATTTCCCCCTTGAGCTTATGAGCACTATAATAGTTGTGTGTGCTCTCTTCAAGTCATGCTTAGAATGTTCTGTTTGCAAAGTCAGGTTTTATATACAAACTTTAAGGCATTACAGTCACTTAAAACATGCTGGGTCATCTCCATCACAGAATCTGAGAAGTGAAAGAGGCCCATCACTCACTCCGACTCTGGGCCGGTTTCTCAGGGTGGGTTTTCTGTCTCGAGGGGGATGCGGGCCAGGTGGTGAGAAACTGCTTTCTTGACACATGTCAGTTTCCGCTTTGTAACTGGGGTTGACCAGACGGTCGGCTCCCAGGCGGTCGGCTCCCAGGTGGTCGGCTCCCAGGTGGTCGTGCACCTGGGGCCCCTCGAGCCTGCTGTTCTCCCCCAGCTCAGCACTGTGCGGAGGCCTGCAGGGGGAAGCTCTGGCCCGGTCTGCCCTCGCGCCCAGTGAGGCTCCGATGGCACCTCTGTCTTCACTGGAAACCTGCTCCTTGTAGTGCTCCTTCCAAGCCAGGAGAGCCCAGGGGTCTGAAAGCCTGCTGTCTTCGTTAGATTTCATCCAATTTACCAAGCTGGTATTTGGCACCGAGGTTCACTTGAGGTCTCTGGAACTAGAGAGGTTTAATACGTGGCTCAGGACAAGCATAGGAAGTTCGGACTGAATTTGTATGAGCATCTTATACATCAGGTGTGAAAACTCTTTCCCCCTTGGGACTGTGCTAAAATTGAAGGCAGCCTGATGTTCTTTCAGCTTGTTGAGTTTTGCCTCTCGGTCTGGCGCCATCTTTCTTGGCATCTTCAGGACTGAATGCAGTTCCTGGTGTGCGCACGCCCGTCGTACTCGCAGACCCTCGTAGCCGACTCGTCTTTCATGGCCCAGTGGGTTGTCTCTCCCTTCCCCATTTTCTCAGCAACTCTCATACTTTTCCTCCTCAGAGACCAGCCTCTGTTACTTTGTTTGTTTGCTTTTTAAATTCCGGGCCTAATGCAACTGCAGCTCCCAGGAAATTGTTTTTCAAGTTGGTTTTCCCTGAAGTGTAACTTAACCATGGTCTGGGTCTTTGCCAGTGACACCGTTGGCAGCTGTGTGGACTCCAGAGGGACTGCCGGCCCCGGCTGCACCCCACCCGAAGCCCAGCCAGCGCGGTCTGTGTCACCTCCGCTGAACGTGTGTGGAGTTCAAGCCCCGGTGTGCCCGCCGGCCCCCACGACCACGCACTGCTGGGGGTACGGCTGCTTCACGCCTCACGGCACCCGTGCCGGAAGACGACTTTTGTACAGCAGGGTGGGGATCAGCACCTCGGCCCTGGCAGCGCACTGTGGCCGGCCAGGTCCGAGAGCCTGATGCGACGCCGTCGCCATCGTGTGTGGGGCGCTGGCAGGTTCCTGAAAGTCCCGGTCGGCCCAGAAGATGTGATGGTGGTCTGTCGAGAAGCCGGGCTGTTTCCTAGGAAACCCCAAAAAGAGTGGGAAAGTGAGCACACTTAACTTTTGATGGATCATTTTTGAAGTTTTTCCTAAAGTTGGCTTTGCATCTGGGGTAGGGCGGACTTGCCTGTTTTGAAAGGATGACCTTCATTTTCCTTCCTGTGTGCGCCTGGGGTCGCTGGGAGCGCCCGGGCACGTTCCTGCCTGTGGCTTTGGTTTCAGCCTGGACCGCGATCCGTCCAGGTGGTGCGTTTCGATTTAAAGCCAATAACGAAGGCTCACTTGTGTGTATTCGTTTGCTGTTTGGAGGATTCCCAGGATATGAGAGCTGAAATGGCCCTAAATATGTCAGTGTCCATGCGGAACCCTGAAAGTGGTCGTCACGTTTTCATCTGAAATGCTCATTTAAGGAGAGAGCCGTCCAACGTAGCGACAGAAGTGGTTCTGTTAGAAACTTCTGTTTCTGCTGCCAGCTGCAGCGCTTCTCACAGTTTAGGGAGGTGGGCAGACGCGGAGGAGGCGCCGCCCTGGGAACTCGCAGAGGACGTCCGAGACGAGGGCCCTCGGACCAGGGCCATAACATGAACTGTGGAAGCTTTCGAAACAGAGCCTTAGAACCAGAAGGGGGATTCGAGGTCGTCTAGTCCAATCCCTTAGGTGTAGGTCAGGAACCAGTTATTTTATTTGTTCAAGGTCAAATGACAGGTTGGTCACAGACCTGGATCTAGAGGCCATTTCTTCAGTCCGCGTTGCATAGTGGAAAGAGCTTAGGTTTTGGAAGTGGTCTGGCCTGAGTTTGAATACCAGCTTTGGCGATCATAAACTCTGTGACTTTGAATGAGTTACTCACCCCATCTGGGCTTTAGTTTCTTGAACTACAAAAGAGGGATTTTGTTGTATGTGAGGCAGCAGGTGTAGTTTTTCAGTCATTTTTCATGGGCCTGGCCGGTGACAGAGGTCAGCTGATTGCTGCTGTCAGACGTTTTGCCGTGAGCAAATGTCAGGGGTCCCGTGGCAGAGAGTGTCCGCACTGTGTGGGCACAGGCTGCTATGTAGCTTTTAGAGGGAACGCGCTACCAAACAGGATAAAGTTGTACCAAGAAGGTTCTGACAAAAATCATAAACGTGAGCAAGGAAAACAACTTCAGAAATACAGCGTGGGGCTGTGCGGTCTGTTGGAGACGTGTGAAAACCGGTGAAAA